AAACCGTACATTCTCAATGAAGGCTCTCCATTGGAATGTACTTCCAGAACATGCAGTACATTCCTGACGCGTAGCTTTCAGATTTGATAATCTAATCTCCATTGAAATGCGATCTGTTTTATGATAAATCTGCTGTCATTGAAACAATATGATCATTTGGATTTGAAAAGATTAGCAGGTTCGTGTGACCACCTTCCTGATCTGCCAGATCAGGAAGGAGAGACAGGTGTGCTCAATGTTTACGTTTTCATTCTACCCTGAACAGCTCGTAGATTGAATTTTGGTTCTGTAATAGATTTTGAGCATTGTTATCCAATCCGCGAGATTAGATTGATCCGCTCTGATCCTGACACGTTCTCCGAAGCTTGATAGATTTCTAAAAGTCACTGGAGAGTGAGCTAGATTGCGAATCTATCTCCATCGGTGTGTCTGCTAATAGGTTGGGGAGTTCTGGAACACAAGGTACGCCGTTTCAGAGTTCTACCAAAGAAATAGGCTTGCAAAGTAGACTGGAATACTCCACATATAGACATAAGAATTGTTGAAAAATGGCTCCAAGCCGTTGTTTACTTGGCTGGGTTCCGGAACTCAAGACTAAAGATCGTTAGTGTTGGAAACCAAAACGTATGTTGGGGAGGCTGCAAGCGCCACTCAATTGCAGAACTAACAAAAGTTGGCATTGCTCCGTGCGTTTCGTTCACGTCTCTCGCCTCATCAGGCTTGCACTAACCCGTCCATCGTGAACAATTCAATCCAAACGGCAATTCTCGGTTGCCTTGCAGCATTGTCTCTAGTTTGGACTGGTGATTAGATAACAAGTATCAATGGTTTGCCTTCTATCAATAAAAGCTAAAAACTACTACTTGTCAGAGCCATGCTAGCGATCTCATTCAAATGACACCTACCGAAAACAGCTCTCCCCAGAGCGATCAAACAAAGAAACATATATTTTGGCAACCATACCTTTTTAGTAAAATTTGCTTCCTGTTTACAAGGATTATGTATATATATATATATGCACTGTTAAACTGCAGTAATTGATCGTATCTTAATTTCCTTGACCTTGTTTGTGTGAGGTGTAAGTGCAGCGGAATGATTTGCGGCAATTAATAATGAAAATAATTTAGCATTAAATAATTTTACCGAAAATTTATTTGTTTAGATTAGTTCTTACGATAAATTAAACGATTGTATACTGAATCAAGACAACGGGTCACTATATTCCGCATTGGCTCGTAACCGCGAACAATTAATCTCCACACGGTTCATGGTGCTGGCGGTGAAGCAAAGAGTATCATTTGTGCAAATCTGGAAGATATAAAACTAATTACATTGTAGTAATAAATAAAATTGATTTTGGGTTGACTGAATGTGAATGGTTCACATTGGACAGCCTGGACGCGAGAAAACGACAACTGCCTGTACTCTTAAATTCGTATGGCAGCAACTTCATGGTCGTCCAGTGTATAGAGATGAGTACAATAAGAATCTCTCTCATCCATTTATTCAGCTGCTTGGTAGTCAGTTTGCGATAATAGTAAAAACATTTGAACCCTGTTTGATTTGGGCCAACTGACTGAGATCGTTATTAAGTCACTCACATAAGAAAAATGTGTGTCGAAACAGTTCACTACGTCACAAGACTGAGAGCTTAAATATCCTTGTGTGAACGTGGAACTAGTTTGTTTGTTCTTATTTCACTGGAGTATAAGGCCGTCATTTTTGACGGTTACCGGTCCGGACTGATTGTCTGTTTTTGTGGACATAGTCAAACTAGAGTGTAACACTTTTCGATAGATAGATAATAAGTGTTTAAAACTTATTTTGTTCTCTTGGACGCATTATATCCTGGATTGTGCTCTTCTGTATTCTGTGAGCTCCTCTTACGCCTTCCAACATGAAACCCAAACCCTATGCTGTCAACGCTTGTTTTTACCATTTTTCAGCAAACATGGTTTTTTTCTCCAAATATTTAGGGACTCCGCTAGTTTGAACTTTACTGTAGAGACGAAACAGCTTGTAGTTCAGATGTGAGCTACGCATGTAACGGAAGTTTTTCAAAAGTTGCAAGATTGCAAAGTACTGTTAGTCCCTATATCGGTACTAATAAGTGAATTCTGGCATGAGATAAATCGAAAAGACCATAAAAGATACACTTTCAAGGAGTTTTTAATCCACTTAATACTTAGTAAATCCCAAGCAATTAAAAGTGTGCCATCTCATGTAGTTTGGTATGTACCTAGCTACTTCAGTTCGCCCGATATCAACTCAAATCGTTAGTGTGTCAAAATGATTACCTTCCTTCTCCGGGTTCAAATTCCGGTAGATGATATGTATTTACTCTGCGAATGTTTATCTATTGGCTCGAGAACATTGTGCATCGATTTTAGAGCCTTCCATTGGTGACTGAACCAGTTCATGTTTATCGTCAATTCACAAGTGATGAGCAAGGCAAATGAATCAAGACATTTTATCGGAGTAATGTTTTGTTTTGTTACACAATAATTACGAGATGCCTTGTTTTGAATGCATTTCTCCATTGGGATGCGTTGTATTGGAGTAAAAATCTTTGTTCAGCCTTTGCTAATTATTTGAGAACGGACGATGAACTGGCTTACAAATAGCTCACTAATAGATGGCATTTAAAAGAAAAATTATTGGGGTTTCGAAATTTATTGAAATAATAACTGGTGTTGTTTTCAATAAAATAAGCAGATCATCAGTCTGAGATTCAATGAAAGTACTACGCCACAAAATAGAATAAATCATGAAATAATATCAGTTTTTCCTTATCGTCCAGGCTAATTTGTTCCTGATATTCTTCATTCGATTACAAAAGGCTCTTCCCTGATCAGATATCCGTCCAAAAGTCGGTCACTATATATCATTGAAGAGACGTATGCAATTCAAGATGGTTTAAATGCAATTCGTAACATTTATTATTGTGCTATTTATTCTCTTGTTTTTCTGAAGGCAGTTCGTATCGAAACAAGCTGTAATTATGTCTCTCGCGCGTTACTTACTTATTTAATTATTCCAGGGAAAACAGCTCAGAATTCGATTTGTTACAGTACATTCTGTTCTTTGTGAGTTCAACTAGGTTGGGACAAATTTAGGACAACTCTATATGAATTTAAAATAAATGGCTCTACTTTCATTGCAATCACTACTACCAATGCCAATACTGTTACTATCATCTATGGTAACAGGTTCGCAGCGTACAGTTATTGCTATTTCTTTCTATGTGATGCAAAACGATTATTTCACCAGAAAGGATTTTGTCACTATTACGGGATTGTCAACTAATCGATGGAGAACGATAAACGCTTGCTTTAAACTATGAACTGCAAGTTTCTTCGTGGTGATTCCAGCCGACGCCAGAATAGCAGTTTGATAACAGATTCAAGCATACAATAGTTCCTGATCGGATGTGGGTCCTATTTTCAATTCCTTTCGGTATTCTAC